TAGCGATTTGTGTCTCTCACAGTACCTGGCTTGTAAAGTACCTAGTTTAGGGGAGGCAAAACTTTACCTCCTTCCTCTTTAGGTTCCCCCCCCCCCCCAGCTGGGCCTGAGAATTAAGTTGATATAAGACAGATTAACAGGAGAAAAGCATACAAACATATTTAAATTGGAAATAAATGGAAATGAAGACCCAAAGAAGCAATTAGAATCAATCTCTTATATACTGAGTTGGACAGATAATAGTAAGTTGTGAAAAAGCAACTAAATATATAGAAAGGCTGAAAAGATAAAAGAGTTACTTTAACAAGGTCTGTACAGAATCCTCTTGGCCTCAACTTCCCATCCTTAATTATAAGAGTGTTGCTTTCCTTCTAGCAAAGAGAGGGCATTTTTCAACATGGGAATTTCATCTCCTGCTTTTAAGAAATAGAAGGAAGATCAGAATGATCTTGCACCTGCTGTTTTTCAAGTGTGTTTAACTCAAAATAGTCAATACACCAGAGTGGTATATTTTTAACTCCTTCACTAGCATATTAAGGACTTAGAAAATATTAAGTACTTCAAAACTTCAAAGGAAAATACAGATAGAACCCCTTTAGAATATTCTATATTTGTGTAACTACACACTTAGGTGCTATTAGGCCAGGAGTGGTGGCTTACGCCTATAATCCCAGCTCTTTGGGAGGCTGAGGCGGGCGGATCACCAGAGATGGTGAGTATGAGACCAGCTTGACCAACATGGGAAAACCCCGTCTCTACTAAAAATACAAAATTAGCCTGGCGTGGTGGCTCATGCCTGTAATCCCAGCTACTTGGGAGGCTGAGGCAGGAGAATTGCTTGAACCTGGGAGGCAGAGGTTGTGGTGAGCGGAGATTGTGCCATTGTACTCCAGCCTGGGCAACAAAAGTGAAACTCTGTCTCAAAAAAAAAGATTAAAATATTAGGTGCTATTATTATACATATTATTATACATGGTCAGTGATTATATTTACCACACATTTATTATTTTCTTTACCTCAGCATTTTTCCTTGCATCTCAGATATTCCATTCGGGATCATTTTCCTTTTTCCCTTTAGAAATTCCTTTTACAAGATGGCAGGTTTTTTTTTTGGTTTTGTTTGTTTGTTTGTTTTTTGCCTCAGGTGCAGAGAAAATTGAGTTAATCATAGGACATGTTACATATGTATTGTACCCTCATTTTTTCCTTTCTTGCTTTCTACTGGGTAGACTGCATTTTCTTCTGATGATTTAAAGTTTATATTGTATTTTTGTTTGCATAATGGTTGCATTTTAAGAGTTTTCTTTAATTCCAACTTTTTTTTTTTTTCTTCTACAAAGCTTCTGGAAAATTTCTTCCAGCATTTTGGTAATTCTCAGTAGGAAGGTTGTTCAAGGGTTCTAATCTGCCACACTGCAAGAAACAGAAGATGCTGTATGTCCTTCTGCCAACATGTGTTTTTCTTTGTTTTGTTTTTTTGAGACAGAGTCTCACTCTTTCACCCAGGCTGGAGCGTGGTGGCACAATCTTGGCTCACTGCAACCTCTGCCTCCTGGCTTCAAGGGATTCTCCTGCCTCAGCCTCCCTAGTAGCTAGGACTACAGATGCATGCCACCAGGCCTGGCTAATTTTTGTATTTTTAGTAAAGACGGGGTTTCACCATGTTGGCCAGGATGGTCTTGATCTCTTGACCTCATGATCCGCTTGCCTTGGCTTCCCAAAGTGCTGGGATTACAGGCCACGTGTTTTTGCAACATAAATTAGCTCATGATGATTGATAATAGGAGAATGATGTCATTATAATGCAGAAGTTCCTATACAATTTTCCCTAGCATGTTAATGATTTGGACTACCAGTAAGCCTCAGTTTGTACATGAATCCTATTCATCCCACATTCTTCAAATTAGACTTAATCTGAACTTACAATAAATCTGTAAACTATGAAGGAAAGAGATAAGCCAGTGGTGTAGTTCAGTGTGGATAGTCCTGTGCTAAGGGAAAGCAGAGAACACTAGGAAAATTCACGGGAGGTGATGAGATAGACATGATGGGTAGGGTGACCAGAAAAGGCTTCCAAAGGAGATTGTATTGAGTTGTGTTTTGAAAGGTGCCAGCTAGATTAAGAAGCTGGGAAAGGCATTCCTAGCAAAGGGAACAGAGTCGATAATACATACTGGTTCACGTGAGTGAATGCTAAGAAGAAATGTGGCTGGAGATTTTTTTTTTTTTTTTTGAGACGGAGTCTTGCTCTGTCGCCCAGGCTGGAGTGCAGTGGCTAGATCTCGGCTCACTGCAAGCCTCACCTCCTGGGTTTATGCCATTCTCCTGCCTCAGCCTCCCAAGTAGCTGGGACTACAGGCGCCCACCACCTCACCTGGCTAGTTTTTTGTATTTTTTAGTAGAGACGGGGTTTCACCGGGTTAGCCAGGATGGTCTCGATCTCCTGACCTCGTGATCCGCCCGTCTCGGCCTCCCAAAGTGCTGGGATTACAGGCTTGAGCCACCGCGCCCGGGCTGGCTGGAGATATTTTCAGGAACCACGTCATGGTGAAACCATATGCTAAACTAAGGCGTTTGGATTTGACACCTGGGCTATGCTTGATGTTCCTGGATTATGCTAAAGGCATAAAAATATTTTTGAATATATGAATTATTGACTTTGTTATAAAAGATCTGGAGAATCACTAAATCATTTTAAGAGGGCAGTTAACATAATCTGATTCATATTTTAGAAAAATTACTCTAGCAACAGTAGGGGGATGGATTACATAGGGATCAGATTGGAAGTGGGAAACTTAGGGGTAGTTTTGCAGTAATAATCAAAGAATGAGAACGAAAACAAGGCTCAGAGTGTAAATGGTGAAGGGAAGATGAACTAAGTTATTAATGAAAAGGAATCTGTACAACAAATTGAGAATGGTGGATGAAATCTTGGATGACTCTAATGCCATCTACTCAATCACTTTTAGATCATAGTTTTCTAATAATAGCTAGAAAGAATTAACACAGATTCTCCAGCCATGCACGGTGGCTCATGCCTGTAATCCCAGCACTTTGGGAGGCCAAGGGAGGTATATTGCTTGAACCTAGGAATTTGAGACCAACCAGGGCAACATGGCAAAACCCCATCTCTAACCCCATTTAACAAAAATTAACCAGGCATGGTGGCATGCACCTGTAATCTCAGTTATTCGGGAGGCAGAGGTGGGAGGATCACCTGAGCCTGGGAGGTCGAGGCTGTGGTGAGCCATGATTGCATCACTGCACTCCAGCCTGGGGAATGGAGTGAGACCCTGTCTCAAACAACAGAACAAAACAAAACAAAACAAAAACAAACAAACAAACAAAAACCCAGATACTCATTTTATGATAAAATATGGCCTGTAACATTTGTGTTACATTCCCAATTTGCTTAAAGCTAATATTTTGTTTTAACTAATGTTGTAAAGAGCCTGAGCATAAAATAATTAGCAGAGTCACTTTTTTATGTGTAGAAACTGACAAAGTGATTCTAAAATTGATGTGGACGTGCAAGGTCCCAGACTAGTCAAAAAACTGAAAAAGAACAAAGTTGGAGGACTAACACTTCCTGGTTTCGAGACTTAACTATAAAGCTGTAGCAATCAATAAAATATACTTCTGGGCTGGATGCAATGTTTCACACCTGTAATCCCAGCACTTTGGGAGGCCAAGGTGGGCAGATCAACGGAGGGCAGCAGTTCACGACCAGCCTAGCCAACATGGTGAAACCCCGTCTATACTAAAAAGACAAAAATTAGTCAGGCGTGGTTGTGAGTGCCTATAAACCTAGCTATTCAGGAGGCTGACACAGGAGAATCGCTTGAACATGGGAGGTGGAGGTTGCAGTGAGCCGAGATTGTACCACTGCACTCCAGCCTGTGCTAAAGAGTGAGACTCCATCTCAAAAAAAGAAAATGCATTCTTGGCATTCAGATAGATCTATAGATCAATGGAACTCTCAATAGAGAGTTCAGAGATAAGCCCACAAATACACCATCAACAGATTTTCAACAAAAGGTGACAAGGTAATTCAATGAGAAAAGGATAACCTTTTCAACAAATGGAACAATTAGATATAGACATATGCTAAAAAAAAAAAAAAAAAAAAAAAAGGGCCCCCAAATCCTGATCGAAGTTCTGTTTCCCATTGGTGAGGAATGCCTGCCCTCAATACCACAGGACAGCCAAATACATAACACCTGACACTAGACAGAGATGAGATTGATAATAGTTTATTAGTCACATATATTCATAGCCTATGGGAAGAGGATAGATATGCTATGCTATGCAGGGCCACAAGGGGTTACTCTCAGGAATAGAATGAACTCGTAGAGGGTATGGGAGGCAGGCTTTGTAGTGACAAGAAGATGAGGTGCCTCCTGGTTCCCCTGGGAATATGTGATTGGCTTGTCTGAAAAATTCCATGGGCTGGCAGGGAAGTGAAACCCATTAGTTTGAGGACTGGGTGGAGTACAGCTGCTCCAGCTGGTAGAGGAACTGGCCAGATGGAGACTCTTTCTCTCTGGATGGGGGACATGCTCTGGCCAAGTAACTGATGGCTAGGCTTTTTTGGGGCTTCTGTGAGGCTGAAAGATGTCAAGTCCATACATGAAATTTTAGACCTTGCGATAAATTTATCTCACGCCATATATAAACTCAAATTGTTTGCTAGATATCTGTGATTATGAAATATCTATTAATTTACTAAAGTATATAGGTACATTTTTATAATTTCCCCCTCAAAGATCTTGCACATTTTTCTTAGATTTATTGCGAGGTACTTCATATTTTTAGATGCTATTAATAAATGCTATCTTTTTTAAAAAATTAATTTTCTACTTATTTGTCACTGGTATTTTAAATTATAATATTTTTATATATTGACCTTATATCTAGCAATCTTGCTAAAATTTATCATTCATTTTTATACTTTAGTTGAAGATTTAAACATTTTCTCTCTCTCTGTTTTTCTTGTCCAGGTTAGAGTGCCGGAGTGCAGTAGCACGATCTCCTTTCACTGCAGCCTCAACCTCCTGGGCTCAAGTAATCCTCCTGTCTTGTCCTCCCAAAATGCTGGGATTACAGGTAAGCCACCACACCCAGCCAAAATGACATTTTTGTTCACAAAGACTGATTTATGTACATTTCATTTATATGTTGAATTTTGTTAAGAAGAAATTGGAACAAATCCACCAGTCTCTACAAAGAGAACATCAAGAACCTGTGTAACAGGCCAGGTGCGGTGGCTCAAGCCTATGATCCCAGCACTTTGGGAGGCCAAGGCGGGCGGATCACGAGGTCAGGAGATCAAGACCATCCTGGCTAACACAGTGAAACCTCGTCTCTACTAAAAATACAAAAAAAAATAAAAAATAAAAAAAAAAATTAGCCGGGCGTGGCAGTGGGCGCCTATAGTCCCAGCTACTTGGGAGGCTGAGGCATGAGAATGGCGTGAACCCGGGAGGCGGAGCTTGCAGTGAGCCGAGATCACGCCACTGCACTCCAGCCTGGGCGACAGAGCAAGACTCCGTTTAAAAAAAAAAAAAAAGAACCTGTGTAACAGTCTAAAAAAATCTAAGTGAGGTTAAAAAAAGAAATTATAATCCTTTACTTCATAATCGTGGCTAATTACAAATCAGCTTTTACCTTGGAAGTATTTTGTTTCAATATATGAAAATGTATAGATTCATGGCCAGATGTGGTGGCTCATGCCTATAATCCCAGCATTTTGGGAGACCAAAACTGGAGGATGACCTGAGGCCAGGAGTTCAAGACCAGCCTGGGCAACATAGTGAGACTCAGTTTCTATGAAAAATTAAAAAATTAAGCTGGATGTGGTGGTATGTGCCTGTAGTCCCAGTTACATGGGAGGCCGAGGTGGGAGGATTGCTTGAGCCCAGGAGTTGGAGGCTGCAGTGAGCTATGGTTGCGCCACTGCACTCTAGCCTGGGTGACAGAGCATGACCTCATCTCTTTTAAAAAAAAGTCATGTTGTAAAAATTATCAAATTATGCATAAAAGTATTATGAACACATCACAAAAATTTGAGGAGGAAAAAATCACTCATTTAACATCATAGCTGATTTTTATTGAATGTATTAACATTTAAACAATCTATGTATGTTACGTGCTTTTAAAAATCACCATGAGACTAGGCCAGGTGCGGTGGCTCATACCTATAATCCCAGCACTTTGGGAGCCCGAAGCAGACAGATTACCAGAGGTCAGGAGTTCAAGACCTGTCTGGCCAACATGGTGAAACTCTGTCTTTACTAAAAAATACATAAATTAGCCAGGCATCATGATGCACACCTGTAATCCCAGCTACTAGGGAGACTGAGGCAGGAGAATTGCTTGAATTTGGGAGGTGTAGGTTGCAGTGAACTGAGATTACGTCACTGCACTACAGCCTGGGCGACAGAGCAAAACCTTATCTCAAAAAAAAAAAAAAAATCACCTTGGGACTATACATATTTTTTATTTACAAATATGTTTGTAGTTCACCTTTTAAGGAGTTCTTTAGAGTATATAGTACATTATTTTAAATATATTCAATTCTGTTCATGGAATTTAATGTTTTTGATCTAGAGAAATGTTATTAATAGGTAAGTCTGGTGAATAAAGTGTACACTATGATTTTAAGCATGGGAGGTAACCCAAGATTAAACTGTACATCACAGTATTATTTTCAATAGCAAAAATCGGAAGCTATCCAAATTTTTAAGTGAGACCGAAATAATATTATAGCCATGCGGGAACACAATACAGCCTTTAAAAATTATCATTACAAGCTGGGTGCAGTGGCTCATGCCTGTAATGCCAGCACTTTGGAAGGCCAAGGTGGGCAGATCATGAGGTCAGGAGTTCGAGATTAGCTTGGCTAACATAGTGAAATCACGTCTCTACTAAAGATACAAAAAATGAGCTGGTCGTGGTGGTGCATGCCTGTAATCCCAGCTACTTGGGAGTCTGAGGTAGGAGAATCGCTTGAACCTGGGAGGCGGAGGTTACAGTAAGCTGAGATTGCACCATTGCACTCTAACCTGGGTGACCGGGCGAGGCTCCATCTCAAAAAAAAAAAAAAATTGTCGTTACAAAATCTGTACAGGAATTTACAGAGAAGTGTTCCTGTATAATGTTAAATTTAAAAAGCCAGACAGAAACTTGTACATGTATTAGTATTATGACTATGTAAAAATGTATATGAATAAAAAATGCTGCAAAGAAATATAACAATATGCTTATATCTCTTGGATGTTAGGTTGAACCATATGAAACCACATGTTTATAAGTAAAAACAATCAAATATTACCAGTTTTGTTTGGTTCAACCTAAGAAAAGAAATACACACACACACACACACACGGAAATACACATAGATATTGTTTGCTAATTTTCTTTAAAACATTAATAGAAAATAGCAAAATGTCATGAGAGTACATTTGCTCTTTGTTTTATTACTAACAGAAGTTTTATTTCAGTCTCATAATGAAGACCTGGAAAAAGACAAAACATCACAAAACTACCTAGGAAAAGGAATGGAACAAGTAGCAAAGAAGTTAGGGGTGGCCCATGAAGAGATTCAAAGACTCACTGATGAACTACAAGTGAAGGAGAAAGAACAGTGTAAATTAGGTAAGCTGTGGTTTCAGATGACCATTTCTGATCATGCTTTATCTGTACTGATCTCATCTCAGGGTGGAACATGAGAAAAAAAACACTGAGAAAAAAGTCTTTAAGATAAACACATAGAAGTGATGAACAGCCTCATTTTCTACCATGCTAGGAATTTTTGTCAAAGCCCAAACATATCTACCAAAAGTTCACAACTCATAAATGTTTACCACTCACCACAAGAAATTCCCAGCCTCTCAGAAGCCCGCTATGTTCCTTCTCTCTGTCTCTACATCCTTCCTCCTCCTTCAGAGTAACTACTCTCCTGACTTTGAATGCAGTTTCTATGTTTGACTACATGTAGTATGCCTTCTATGGTTTGCTTCTCCTGCTCAGTCTTACAAGATTCATTCATTTTGTTATATGTAGCAGTTGTTTGTTCACTCTGCTGTTTATAATATTTCATTAATAAACATACTACAATCTATCCGTTCTACTGATGGACAATTGTGTTGTCAGTTTTTGTCTATTATAAATATTGCTGCTATAAACATTTTGGTATATGTCTCAGTGTGCTTATTACACATTTCTGATTGTGGTAAGAGTAGAATTACTGAATCCAAGGGTTATGGGCAGGTTCTACTTTGGTCTTCCAAGGTAGTTATACTAATTTAAGCTTTCTTCAGTTGTATGTGAGATTTTAGTTCCTCCACCTTGGTTTTCAATACTTGGTACTATCGGTCTTATTCACTTCACCTTTTATGTTGAGTGCATAGTGGTATTTAAGTGTTGCTTTAATTGGTATTCCCTGACTGCTAATTAAGTTGAAAATCTTTTCGTATGTTTGTTGTTGTTATTGTTACTCATTTGGATATACAACTTTGTGAAGTTCCTGCTCAAGTCTCTTGTATATTTTTCCTATTTTATTTATTTGTGGGAGTTCTTTATATATTGTGGATATCAGCCTTTTGTTGGTTATAAATTTTATGTTGTTGTTGTTATTTTTTTTACCATAAATGCTCATATTGATCAAGTTGGGTTTAAGTGAATTATTCTTTATGCCTTCTGAGTTTTCATGTTTAAAGCCTTTTCTTCACTACAAGATTATTGAAGATATTTACCCTGGTTTTGGGGGGGTACTTTTATTGTTTATATTTACATCTTTGCTTTATCTAGAATTTAGTATAAAATTTTAAAATTATAATTATCTCCTTTCTATATTTTTAATCCGTGACTGATTCTTTTACAAATACAATATATAGGTTACTTTAGAATCATAAACATTAAAAATGTTAAATGTATAAAACAATAATGATTACGCCAAACTGTGTGATTAATAACAAATAATAAAAAAACAGAATATCAGGATGTAAATTTTTTATAAATACATTTTAAACAGTGGACACAAATAACTTTTCAGAATGATGGAAATGTTCCATATCCTGTTTGGGTTGGTGGATATACAATTGTACATATTTGTCAGAATTCATCAAACTATACACTTAAAAGGGTGAATTTTACTGTATGCAATTTATTTATCAGTAAACACAATTTAAAAAGAAAATAAATTTGGCCACATGAGCGTGATGAGAAGCAATATTTGCTGCTTGCAATACAAGAGGAAAAAGGAAAAGCAGGATATTCAGCACCCATAGTGGTTATATTTGGACACAACAGAACACAATCACATAGCAATCTCTTCTATCAGCAGTTGCTCTATAGGGTAAATCCCAAACGTATCAATTGAAAGCCATCTCTACAGTGAGTCTGTTAGGACTTTTGGGAAGCTGAATTAGCAAGTCCTTTTGGAATGTTGTGTGCAGTATCAATGTGTGCACCATCTGTAACTTCCTGAGTCATCCACTTACAGCAGAATTTGTAGCTAGGCATGTGTAATATGACAGTGTTTCCCAAGTATTAGCTTGTTTCTTTCAACAAACTCTTTTTAAAATAAATCCCTTTAGCTCTCTTTAGTTTATTCTTTATCTCACTATCACATCATAAAATTTGGATGAAAATGAAAAATTTTTTCAATGATAATTTTTTCAAGAATGAAAAAGAATTCATATAAAATATTTATTCCTTGACAAATGAATATCAAGAAAAAAGATGAATTTTTAAAGATTTAAGAGACTTATTAACCAATTATGATGTGTGGCCTTTATAGAATCCTGATTCAAATTTTTAACATTTATAAAACAATTTGAAATTTGAACACTTGCTAGACATATGAATTAAAGAATTGTTAAATTTTTGTTAAATTAATTTTTTGTTTAAAAATAGTTCTTATTTTTTAGAGCTATATAGTGAAACATTCATAAGTGAATGAAATGATGTCTAGGATTTGCTTCAAAATAATACAGATCTCTACCTTATAGCTACACAAAAATTAATTCAAAATGGATCACAGAGCTAAATGTAAGTTAAAACTATAAAACTATTAGAAGAAAACAAGGAATACATCTTCATGATCTTGGGTTAAGCAGTGATACATTAAATATGACACCAAAAGCAAAAGTGAAGAGAAAAACTAATACATTGGACTAAATCAAAATTTAAAATTTTTACACTTCAAAACATACCATCAGAAAGTGAAAAGACAACTCACAGACTAGAAGAAAATATTTGTGAATCATGTGTTTGATATGGATCTTATATCCAGAATATGTAACAAATTCTTACAATTTAATAATTAAAAGACAGCCCAATTTAAAAATGAGCAAAGGGGCTGGGCGTCGTGACATGTGCCTGTAGTCCTAGCTACTTGGGAGGCTGAGGTGGAAGGATGGCTTGAGCCCAGGAGTTTAAGGCTGCAGTGGGCGATGATTGTTACTGCTTTCCAGCCTGGGTGACAGAGTGAGACCCTGTCTTAAAGAAAAAAAATGGGCAAAGGATTTGAAAAGACATTTCCAGGAAGAAGATATGTGAATGACCAACAGGCACATGAAAAGATGCTCGGCACCTCCCATCACAAAAATTGATAGGTATGTGACGTGGTAGATGTGTTAATGAACTTGATTTAATCACCCCACAATATAAACATATGTCAAAACATTACATTGTACCCCATAAACGTATATAATTATTATTTGTCGATTAAAAAAATGATGTTCGATACCATTAGTTATTAGGGAAGTGCAAAGCAAAACCACAATGAGAGTCTACTTCATACCCACTAGAATGGCTGTGCTAAACAAGACAGACAGTGACAATTGTTGGCAAGGATGTGGAAACATTAAAACCCTTATACATTGCTGGTAAGAAGGTAAGATAGTGAAGATACTTTGGAAAACATTTAACAGTTTCTCAAAATATTAAACACAACCCAGAAATTCCATTCCTAGCTATCTACCCAGGAGAAACACAGACTTGTATGTAAATGTTCATAGCACTATTAGTTACAATAGCCAAGAGTTAGAAACAACCCAAATGTCTGTCAATTGGTGAACTAATAAACAAAATGCAGTGTATCCATACTGGGGAGAAAGTAGCTAACAGCACATCCAACACTGCTATCCTTAGAGAAAGGACTGCTATAACAGTCATAAGCATCTGGTTGACATCTGAGAACTTGGATTTTGGGAGGGTTTCCACCATTCCTTAACCAATAGTGGCTCACTGTGCCTAAGCTGTTTATACAATGTGGTCCATGCAGAATACCTGCTTTCCTTTAAGAGTCTTGGTATATGCTAGGCAGAAAGTGTGTGTGTGACCAGCCCTCAACAAAACCTTAGGTGCTGAGTCTTTCATGAGCTTCCCAGGTAGACAACATTTTACATGTATTGTGACAGTTCACTGCTGGAGACATATCCTGTGTGACTCCACTGGGAGCAGACTCTTGGAAGCTTGTTCCTGGTTTCTTCTGGCCTTTGCCCTGTGCATCCTTTCCCTTTGCTTCATCTTTTTGATTTTGCTTCATCTTTTTGCTGTAGGAAATCTTTGAGTATGAACATATGTTGAGTCTTGTGAGTCCTCTTAGCATATCACCAAATCTGGGGGTGATCTTGAGGACTCCTGGTACTCATATGATATAATACTATCTGCCAGTAAAAAGGAAGGAAGTACTTATACCTGCTACATGGATGAATCTCAAAAACAAGCTAAGTGACAGAAGTCAGATGCAAAAGATCATGTATTGTGTGATTCCATTGAGATGAAATGCACATAAAAGGCAATCCTATAGAGATAGGAAGTAGATTGGCATAGCTGGGCACAGTAACACATGCCTATGCCCCCAACTACTTGCCACTTGGGAGGCTGAGGCAGAAGAATCACCTAGCCTATGAGTTTGAGTCCAACCTGAGCAACATAGTGATACCCTGTCTCAAAAAAAAAAAAAAAAAAAGGAAAGTAGATTAGTGGTTTAGGGCTAGGGATGAGAATTGGGACTAAGTGGGTATGATTTTCTTAATAGGGTGATGAAAATGTTCTAAAATTAGATTGTGATAGTGGCATACCTGTAGATATACTAAAAACCATTGAATTGTCCACTTGAAATAAGTAATTTTTAAGGTATATAAACTGTACCTCAATAAAGCTGTTAAAAATACAAGAACTGGGGGAAATAAGTATATTAGGTGAAAATCTAAGGTGGCTTCCAAGAGCCCCACCCCCGGTATATACACATTTTTTCCCAGTGATTCAACAAAATACAATCTAGATGCTGCTGTGAAGAGATTTTGTAAGTGTAGTTATGGTCCCAAACCAACTGACTTTAAAGAAGGGAGATTTTCTTGCATGAGCCTGATCTCATCAGGTGAGCTCTTGAAAGAGTCAGGACATTTCGTGGCAAAAAGGATTTGAAGTGCAAGAGGGATTTAACATGAGGGAGACTCTTCATTAATGACTTAAAAAAAGAAATAATGACTTTGAAGATGGAGAAGATCACGTGACAAAGAATGCAGGCAGCCTCCAAGAGCCAAGAGAGACCTCCAACTGACAGTCAGCAAGGAGATGGGGACCTCAGTCTTACACCCTCAAGGACTGAATTCAGCTAACAAGCTGAATCAGATTGGAAATGAATTCTTCTCCAGAGCCGTCAGAGAGAAACATAGCCTGGCCAACAGCCTGATTTCAGCCTTGTAAGACTTTGATCACAGAACTCAGGCACACCATGCCCAGACTCCTGACCTAGAGAACTGTGAACTAGTAGATGGATGCTGTTGTAAGCCACTAAGTTTGTGGTAATTTGTTATACAACATTAGAAAATTAATATAATAGGTAAGGGTATAAGTGAAACAAGATTGACCGTGAGTTGGTGATTGTTAAAAGCTGGGTGATGGATGTAGGTATTACCATAACTCTGTTCTAGCTACTTTTGTATATATATGAAATTTTCCATCAGTAAAAAAGTTTTTTTTTTTAAATCTATGCTAACCAGACTTAGAAAGAGACTTAGAAATAGACTAAGAAAGTAAAACTGTTAATCTGATAGAGAGATCTCAAGAAAAGTTACAACCAATACAATTTTAGAAATATTACTGGTTTAAGAGGACTATTGGAAAGCTACAACTAGCTACAATTTTCTTTTTTTTTTTTTTCTTTCTTTTTTTAGAGATAGGGTTTCACTCTGTTGCCCAGATTGGAGTACAGTGGCATGATCATCACTCACTCACTGAGTTCCTGGGTTCAAGTGATCCTCCTGCCTCAGTCTCATAAGTAGCTAGGACTGTAGGCATGTAGTGCCACAGTTGGCTAATTTTTAAATCTTTTGTAGAGAAGGGGGTTTTACTTGCCCAGGCTGGTCTCAAACTCCTGACCTCAAGCAATCCTTATGCCTCAGCCTCCCAAGTGTTGCATAGGTGTGAACCACTGTTCCCAACCCCAGAAAGCTATAGTTTTCAAGTATCTTCACAAACATGGCAGAAACTAACCTGACCATACAAGTTAATAAATTTGGTAGTCCGATATTATTTAAATTTGGAGCAATATATTTCACTATGTGTGCTATTCCAAAAATAGTTATTTTTTTTTCAAATAGCAATTAAGTCAAATGTTTTCAGAACACCTGAAGTACCTCTTCAGAACTCTGAGGTTCACAGAATACAGTTTGGAAGCCCCTGTTCACATAATAAATTCTGAGCTCTCTTGTGTAGCAAATAAGGTCTTTCTGGTTTGGCCTCTGCCTATGTATCCAGCTCATATCCCACACTTCCCTAATTCTCTGCACTACAGACTGGGCAGTATTAGACTATATGTAGTTCCTGAACTACTCAGTGTTCCCTCCTATGTCGTCTCCTTTGTTCTGTGCTACCTCCTGTATTACTCGTGTTATTCCCTCTTTGTAGAATATCCTTTCCACCTGCCCTCACTTTACTTTCTCTCCTTCTTCCATAAAGGAATACATTTGGAAAACTGTTCTTTTAGTAAAACAGAAGCTATTTTTACATCTCTGTCTCAGTGTAAACAGACCTAGGTTCACATCCCAGTCATACCGTTTACTAGTTGTGTAATGTTAAGCAAGTTGTTTAACTTTTCTGAGTCTTGTTTATCTCATCTATAAAATGGAAGCATGAATATCTACTTTGCAGCTTTGTTATGATGATACATATATCTGGCACTGCTAGTTGCTGCTATGGTAACAGTAGTAGTAATAGTATTGCTATAGTTAGGAATACAGTTTTAGGTGAATCTGGTAGGTTATCCTGGGATTTACCCTAAAGAACTGAGTGTTAACAGATGTAATAATAAAACCTTCACAATTGTGCTGATGAACTCACTCTGTGGTTAGAAGTGACCTGTTATAAAATTCATGTTAGTCTCTTACTTCTGGGAGGTTCTTCATTCTGATAATATAGGAGATCCACCAGCAATATTGCTGGTGATGAGGAGACCACAGGAGACAAAGGGATAAAACCTGAAGTAGAGAACCCAAATCCAATAGACTCCAATGCGTCATGTCTTCCTAAATATCATTGTGCCATCCTTATACAATTCTCGCATAGTATCAAAAGCTATTTCCTGAAATTTTGTTATTTTGATATTTCTAGCAGCTATTGGCAAAATTCTAAATATGACTGATTGCAGGAATTATTTTTACTTTTTTCTGGGTGTAGTTTCTTTTCACTAAACTGGTAGTACCATGCCTAAAAACTTTTGGCTTTTCCCATTGTTTACAGTGGTTTAAATTCCTCTTAATCATGAAATCTGATGGAGGAAACTATTAGGGAAAGACAATTACGAGATCAGATAAGCAGGGATAGGGCTAAATATAGGGTGCAGTAGGAACTCTAAGAGAGAAGTCTGGGAAAATTCCCTGAGGAGCTGACATTTAAGCAGAAACTCCAGGGACAGTAGCCAGGTGAAAGAAAGTGTTCCAGAGAGAGAGAGAGTCATTGGAAATTTGATTATTATACGAATCATTTGTTCCTTATACAAATATTTTGTTTCTTTTTTTAGATTCTGCACTTAAGAAGGCTCAACTAGAAATTGACAAACTGAAGGAAAATTTGGTAAAGCAGAAAGAAAATGGTAAGTCATTCTAGAAGATATAATAATTACTATTTAGTAGCCAAGAATGGTGGTACATGCCTGCAGTCCCAAAGACTTGGGAGGCTTGGGCCCAGGAGTTGGAGGTTGCAGTGAGCCATGTCTGTGCCACTGCACTCCAGCCTGGGCAATAATGCAAGACCCCATCTCAAAAGAATAAATTTTTTAAAAAATTATTATTTAATAATAATACATTAAGAAATAATATAATATACATTAATAATAGGTTTTAAAATAATAATATTTTGGAATTAAAATAATAAGTACTACTACTGTTATTGCTGTTGCTACTACTGTTATTATTACTACCACTACTACTACCATTTAATAGTGACAGGTACTAAGTGCTTACTAAGTGACAGGTACTCTGCCAGGCACTTCACATGCTTTATCTCTAATCCTCACAACAGTCTGTGGCCATACTACCCTGAATACACATATCTCATCTAATCCTCATAGCAGTTCCAAGTAGTGAGTAGTAGTATCCCCTTTTCTTAGATAAGCAAACTGAGTCATGGCAAAGTTAAGTGAGTTATCCAATAGCTACAATAAGTATCAGAGCTGGTATTTGAATCTTTGTATGTCTGACTCCCAAACCTGTGATCAACACAAATCATGCATCTTTTACTGGGACCACTGACACCAATATACTTTATAATGCATTTAACAATACTTTATACATATTTGTTCACTGGGAAGCCAGTAGGCTTGAATCAGTGGTGAATTAATCTGACCCTAGCTTGCCTATATAAAAATGCTACCAGTTAGCAATAATATAATGAAATTTGAATATTTGAATGGTAACAGCTAAAAATTTTTTAAATATGTTTACCAGTTTTTAAATAATTCTACAACTAGGCATCCCTCCTTTTAAAAATGTATGAATATAATTATAAAATGAATACTGCTTTTTTAGTAATTAATAGAACAAGGAAACAGAAATAAATCAGTAGGGATATAAAAGCCCTAAAAATACTAGCAATCAAAATGACCTAATTGATATTTATAGAAACAGAACACACATTCTTTTCGTATACCCATGAAACATTCACCAAGAGAGACCATCCTGGTGGAACTGGAGGTCATTATGCTAACAGAAATAAGCCAGGCACAGAAAGACAAACATTGCATGTTCTCACTTATATGTGGAATCTAAAAATCAAAACAGTTGAACTCACCGACATAGAGAGCAGAAAGATTGTTACCAGAGGCTGGGAAGGAGAGTAGAGGGGCAGTTTCAGCGGGAGGCAGGGAATGGCTAATGGGTAAAAAAAAGAAAGAGTGAATAAAATCTAGTATTTGATAGCACAACAGGGTGACTACAGTCAATAATAACTTAATTGTACATTTTTAAATAACTTAAAGAGTATAATTGGATTGTTTGTAACATAAAGGATAAATACTTGAGGGGATGGATAACCCATTTTCCATGACATGATTATTACGCATTGCATGCCTGTATCAAAACATCTCATGTAGCCTTTGGCTCTGTGAGCAGCACCATGGCTGTTGGCAAGGACAAGCACCTTATGAAAGGTAGCAAAAAGGGAGCCAAAAATAAAGTGGTTGATCCATTTTCTAAGAAAGATTGGTGTGATGTAAAAGCACTTGCTATGTTCAATATAAGAAATATTGGAGAGACGCTAGTCACCAGGACTCAAGGAACCAAAATTGCATCTAATAGCCTCAGGGGTCGTGTGTTTGAAGTGAGTCTTGCTGATCTGCAGAATGATGAAGTTGCATTTAGAAAATTCAAGCTGATGCTGAAGATGTTCAGGACAAAAACTGACTAACTTCCAGGGCATAGATTTACCCGTGACAAAATGTGTTCCATTGTCAAAAAATGGCAGACCATGATTGAACCTCACACTGATGTCAAGACTACCGATGATTATTTGTTTCATCTATTCTGTGTTGATTTTACTAAAAAGCACAACAATCTAACACAGAAGGCCTCTCATGCTCAGCACCAACAGGTCTGCAAAATCCAGAAGAAGATGATGGAAATTATGACCTGAAAGGTGCGAATGACTTGAAAGAAGTGGTCAATAGATTGATTCCAGACAGCACTGGAAAAGAGAAAAGCTTTGCCAATGTAGTTATCTTCTCCATGATGTCTTTATTAGAAAAGTAAAAATGCTGAAGATGCCCAAGTTTGGTTGGGGAAAATTCATGAAGGTAATTGTTCTGGAAAAGCTACTGGGGATGAGACAGGTCCTAAAGTCGAATTAGCTGATGGATATGAAGCACTGGTCCAAGAATCTATTTAAAGTTCAAAATTTAAAAAAGAGAGGCCATCCTGGGCCATAAAGTAAATCTCTGCGAAAAAAATGAAATACAAATTATGTTCTCTGATTATAATGGAATTAAACTAAAAATTGGTAACAGAAGTAGTTTAGTTGGAAATATTTGGAAATTAAAATGATTTTTTTTTTTTTTTGAAATGGATTCTCATGTTGTTGCCCAGGCTGGAGTATAGTGGCATGATCTCGGCTCACTGCAACCTCTGCCTCCCAGGTTCAAGCAGTTCTCTGCCTCAGCCTCCCGAGTAGCTGGGATTACAGGAACCTGCCACCACACCCAGCTAATTTTTGTATTTTTAGTAGAGACGGGGTTTCACCATGTTGGCCAGGCTGATCTTGAACTCCTGACCTTGTGATCCACCTGCCTCAGCCTCCCTAAGTGCTGGGATTACAGGCGTGAGCCACTGCACCTGGCCTAAAAAGATATTTATAAAAAGACCATGCCTTCAGAGAAAAAAATTAAGAGAGATATTAGAAAATATTTTGAATTGAAGAAAATGAAAATGCAACAATATCATCATTTCTGTGACATAGCTAAATCAGTACTTAGAGGGAATTTTATAGTATTTAATGCTTATATTAGAAATTAAGAAAGGACTCAAAATAATCTGAGTCTATACCTCAGAAACCCAGAATAAGGTGAGCAGAATAAGAATAAAAAAAATAATTAAATATAATAAGAATAAAAAGAATAAGAACAGAATAAGAAGAGAAAATTAAATCCAAGGCATGCAGAAGGAAGGAGATATTAAAATAAGAGCTTAAATCAACAAAAGTGGCTGGGCACGGTGGTTCACGCCTGTAATCCCAGCACTTTGGGAGGCTGAAGCAGGTGGATCACAAAGTCAAGAGATCAAGACCATCCTGGCCAACATGGTGAAACCCCGTCTCTACTAAAAATACAAAAATTAGCTGGGCGTGGTGGCGCACGCTTGTAATTCCAGCTAACTCAGGAGGCTGAGGCAGGAGAATCGCTTGAACCTGGGAGGCAGAAGTTACAGTGACCCGAGATAGTGCCACTGCACTCCAGTCTGGTGACAGATCGAGACTCCATCTCAAAAAAGAAAAAAAAAATCGACAAAACTAAAAACAGAACCACAATAGAGTAAATCAGTGGAACCATGAGCTGCATCTTCAGAGAGAACAACATTGACAAACTTCTAACTAGATTGGTCATGAAAAAAGAGAGAACTCACAAATTACCAATATAAAAAATAACAGAATATTTCTACAGAATAAAAAGATAATATGGGAATATTATGAAAAACTTTATGCCAATAAATTGACGACCTGGATGACGTGGACACATTCCTTAAAAGACACAAACCACCAAACCTCACCTGAGAAGAAATAGCTCTAAATCTATGTAAAGAGACAGAATTTTTAGTTAAAAACCTTCCCATGGGCCAGACATGGTGGCTCATGCCTGTAATCCCAGCACTTTGGGAGGCCGAGGGGGTGAATCACTTGAGGTCAAGAGTTCAAGACCAGCCTGGCGAGCATGGTGAAACCCTTTATCTACTAAAAATACAAAAAAAAAAAAAAAAAAAATTAGCCAGGTGTGGTGGCCTATGCCTGTAATCCCAGCTACTCAGGAGGCTGAGGCAAGAGAATCACTTGAACCCAGGAGGCGGAGGCTGCAGTGAGATTGCACCACTGCACTCCAGCCTGGGCAACAGAGCAAGACGGACTCAAATGAAAAATAAAAATAAAAATAAAAATCTTCCCATGAGGAAGACTCCAGGCTCAGATGGCTTCATTAGTGAATTCTAATAAGGGGAATTATTTAAGGAATAAATAATACTAAATTTATATAATTTCTTCCAGAAAATGGAAGAAGAGAGAATACTTCCCACTTTTTTAAGTGGCCAGTTAACAAAGAAGTACAGAGAATAAGAAATAACTTGTTGGGTAGTAAAATTAAATGCAGTATGTTTACCAATAATAGATTGTTAAATAAGTGACTATACAAAGCATACTTTGCAGATATTAAAGATGACATGGAGCCAAGTGTGCACTGACATGAATAGATTTCTGTGATATATTATCAAGTGAATAAGGTAAGTTGTAGAGTAAGATGTGTGGTATAATGTCATTTGGGTTTTTTATTTGTGGAGTTTGTGTGTGTGTACCCACAGGACTACTGTGAGCTGGTATATACTAGTATGGCAGTAAAGTTGTGAAGGTACTGGAATAATTCTGTGTTGACTTATAACTAGCTGTTGTCCTGAATCTTCTAAACATTCCTACCTGCCCTAATTGTCTTAGCTCCTTCCAGCCCCATGTCTTCCCAGCCACTAAAGAGATAATATTTAGCACAGCAAAATGTTCTCTAGAACTCTACTTCAGAGCTACATTTTTATAGATGAGGGTGCATGCTTAACCAATTGTTAAATATTTTTAACACAACTTTGTCTGTTTGTATATTACTATAAATATATATATATATTTCTGAAAATATTTACTATGTGTTAAAAATATTATTTTGGGACATGGTACCAGCTGAAGGTGGGATAAAAATATTCACTTTGAACAAAACCATGTAGTTTGATTAACAAAAAGCCTATGTTCCATTTGTGATCAATAAAAGTTAAGGTGTTAACACTTTACAATTTCAAGATTTACAGTAAAGCTACAGCATGGAATTATTCTAAGAACAGATTTGTAAACAAATGGACTAGGAGGTATGTAAAAGAGACAGAACTGAAAGGCATATAGGAAGACCATTTTTTTGGTCATTTAACTTTTAAAAGCTAAGCTAGGCTAAATTGTTTTAAAATTCTAGGTCCTAGAAGAACCTCTATTGCTGGAAACCCTACACTCAAAAAGTCCAATTCATTGGTCTGGTGTGAGTAATATAAAACTTTCCCTGTTGTTTCTTTGGGTTGGTAGAATATTCTAGGACTAGACTTGAGAGCCTTGTGGCTCTCCTGCACAGAGAGCCAGCCACATATGCAGAGACACGATAGGACTAACAAGAAGGGCAGACAATAGCACTTCCTTCGTTTTTAGAGTTAGTGCCCCTAAAACTAAAACTTTGATCCAGTTGAGTAAACTGTGTTCTTCTCTGTTTTAGATGCAGCTGACCTACAGAAAGCAAAGGAACACAATCAGAGACTGGATGAGGAAATTCTGGCTTTAAGAAATAGGGTTCGATCACTTGACTCAGAAAAAAAGGTGCTTGGTGAAATGGTAAGTTTAATTTACTTCTTAGAACTTATTTAAATGTGTCTACCATAACAATCAACAGCATAAAGCAACACAGATATACAACATGTAGGTTGGTCTTTAGCAGGGACCAATACTGGGGGCTGTAACATCTCAGAGGGATGCCATGCTTTGACCTAGATGTATTCTATCAGTACTTACATTTTATACATTTTAACTACCTATGCTACACAGCAACATTGTTGCTATATGTAAATCTAGGATCTTTTAAATAAGGGATTAGATAATAGTTTATGGTTAACACGTTCACCACATAGAAAATATTACTCTATTATATTGGATAAGTTTAAGATTATTAATACTAAATCTTTAATTGTTTATATTTTTAACCATTTCTTCTTAGCAATTTACTGATTTTTAAAAATATGCACTTCCAAATTTTAAATACATCTCTTCAATTTTAGTTTATATTCATTAAATAATCATATATCTACTGTATAAAAAAATACCTGGCATAATACTAGGTGCTTTAGAAATTTTTTTTGTAAGAATGACTAAAGACCCATCAGGACGACTGCTAGCAAAACAACAGATAATAACAAATGTTGGTGTGGAAAAATTGGAACCTTTGTGCATTGCTGGGGAGAATCTAAAATAGTGCAGCCACCATGGAAAACAGTTACTCTAAAAGTTAAATATAGAATCACCATGTGGTCTGACAATTCCACTTCTGGATATATGCCCCAGAGAATTGAAGACAGAGACTTAAACATATATTTGCACATCCATATTCATAGCAGCATTATTCACAATAGCCAAAAGGTGGAAGCAGCTCAGATGCTCATTGATAGAGGAACAGATAAGCAAAATGTGGTATAGCCATACAATGGAATATTATTCAGCCTTAAAAAGGAAAGAAATTCATACACATGCTGCAACATGAATGAACATTGAAGACATTATTCTAAATGAAATAATCCAGTCACAAAAGGACAAATAATATATGATTACACTTATATGACATGCTTAGAGTAGTGAAAGTCATAGAGACAGAAAGTATTAATAGAATGGTGGTTGCCAGTGGCTGGGGAGAGGGAGTAATGGGAGTTATTGTTTAATGGGTGTAGAGTTTCAGTGCAAGATGAAGAGTTCTGGAGATGGACGGTGGTAATGGTTGCACAACAGTGTGCTTGACAATGTGCTTAATAATATGCTTAATGATGCTTAATGCCACTGAACTGTACACTTAAAAATGGCTAACATGGTACATTTTGTGTTATGTGTATTTTACCACAATAAAAATGCAATCATAAAAAGAATGAATAAATAAGTGAAGATTGGTAAGTTATCTAAGTCTTTGTAAATTTATGTATCTAATGCATTTATATATTTAATACATGTGTGTATGCATGAAAAAGTTCAGGTAGGGTACATTCCAAGCAGTGTTATTTCTGGAAAGGGAGGAACAGTTGTAATATGAAGGAAAATACAGTTTTTTATTCTGTATACCTATGTGTTGAAGTTTTACAAGGAGAGCGTATTTGTATGTTACTTGTATAATTAAAAAACAAAGCAATGATTTATCCAAACAAAAATTGAGAAGTCTACAAGATGTTTTCTTTTGTATTTAAGGTTGAAAGACTTAAAGGAGAGGTGTGTGAATCTCAAGAGAATAAGCAACTTGGAGACCACTCCCCTGGAAAAACTGTGGGTGGTGAACAGAGAGAACAGGTATTGTATTTTAAAGTTCTGTTCTTTCTGATTTCTAATTTTTGAGTTGTACTTTTACAGAGTATACTAGAGTAATTGGTGCTAATCATTTGCTACTCTCCTTATTGGGCTGTCTTTTTCTATTGCTCAGCTAATTAGAGTGGAAGAGGAAAGAGGGCTACAGAGGATGTGTTTCTGTTCACTTCTTTCTCATAAAGAACAGTTAATTTGGAGAATATAATAGATTGTTTCTCTGAAAAGAATCTTATGAAGATACAACCAATTTGAGCATATCATGGAGAACTAATAAGGTGTAGGCTCCAGTGTGTACAGTATATACTATATTCAGCATGATCAGCCTCTGAAGTGGTGAGCAAAGCAATCAAACCCAAGACAGACTGATGCAAATGCCAGGGTTTATCTAGTAAATAGTAGTTTTAATTTGCCTTTTGAGCATGTCTAATGACCATGAATATGTTTTGGCCATTTATATGTTCTTTTGTGAAGCATCTGTTCAAATCTTTTGTACATTTTCAGTGGAGTGGTCTGTATTCTTAAAAAAATTTTATTTTTATTATTATTATTTTTTTTAGAGATAGAGTCTCACTCTGTTGACCAGGCTGTAGTAGAGGGGTGCAGTCCTGGCTCGCTGAAGCCTCAACCTTCCAGGCCCAAGCCATCCTCCTGCCCCAGCCTCTCAAGTAGCTGGCACTATAGGCATGCAGCACCACACCCAACTAATTTTAAAAAATCTTTTTTGTAGAGATGAGGTCTCACTATGTTGTCCAGGCCAGTCTCAAACTCCTGGCCTCAGGTAATCTTGCCTCCCAAAGTGCTGGGATTACAGGCATGCACCACTGTTTCTGGTTTGTATTCTTTTTATTGAGTTATAGAAGTAGTTTTGTTTTGTTTTTTCCATATTAGAGATGATGTCTCACCATGTTGCCCAAGCTGGTCTCAAACACCTGGCCTGAAGTGATTCTCCATCTTTGACTTCTTAAAGTGCTGGGATTACATGCATAAGCCACCACACCTGGCCAAGAGTTCTTTATATATATTCAAACTAGTCCTTTGTTTCAGATATATGTATTATAAATCTTTTCTTATTCTATGCCATGTCTTTCATTTTCTTAGTAGTGTTTTATAAAGAGTAGAAGTTTTAAAATTTTGATGGAGGTGAATTCATCAATGTTTTCTTTTATAATTTTGTGATGGGACACAAAAAGCCTATTTAAGAAATCTTTGTCTACTCTAAGGTCACAAAATATGTTTCTTATACTTTCTTCTAAATATTTTATAGTTTTTAGTTTCTACATTTAGGTTTATGGTCTACTGCAGGTAATTTTTGTATATACTGTGTGGTAAAATTGAGAGGTTCATTCATTTTCAGTGTATATCCAGTTATTCCAGAAATATTTGGTAAAAAGAGTTATTTCCTTACTGATAAAGGTTAGCACCTTTATTAAAAAAATTTATAAAGGTCTGCTTCTGGACACTGTATTCTATTCTGTTAACCCACCCATGTGTTTATTCTTAGAACAATTCTAGAACAATCTTAGAACAATGCTGTAACTTTATTGTAAGTCTTGAAATTATAAGGTGTAACACCTCCTTCTCTCAACTCATCAAAGTCATTCTGCGTCCAGCTTTGTTCCATTGCTGGTGAGGAGCTGTGTTCCTTTGGAGGAGAACAGGCACTCTGATTTTTAGAATTTTCAGCTTTTCTCCCTATCTTTGTGGTTTTATCCACTTTTGGTCTTTGATGATGGTGATGTACAGATGGAGTTTTGGTGTGGATGTCCTTTCTGTTTGTTAGGTTTCCTTCTAAGTCAGGACCCTCAGCTGCAGGTCTGTTGGAGTTTGCTGGAGGTCCACTGCAGACCCTGTTTGCCTGGATATCACCAGCAGAGGCTGCAGAACAGCAAATATTGCAGAATGGCAAATGTTACTGCCTGATCCTTCCTCTGGAAGCTTCATCTCAGAGGGGCACCCGGCCGTATGAGGTATCAGTCTGCCCCTACTAGGAGGTGACTCCCAGTTAGGCTACTCGAGTGTCAGAGACCCACTTGAGAAGGCAGTCTGTCCATTCTCAGATCTCAAACTCCATGCTGGGAGAACCACTACTCTCTTCAAAGCTATCAGACAGGGACGTTTAAGTCTGCAGAAGTTTCTGCTGCTTTTTGTTCAGCTATACCCTGCCCCCAGAGGTGGAGTCTACAGAGGCAGGCAGGCCTCCTTGAACTGCGGTGGGCTCCACCCAGTTCGAGCTTCCTGGCCACTTTGTTTACCTACTCAAGCCTCAGCAATGGCAGATGCCCCTCCCCCAGCCTCACTGCCGCCTTGCAGTTCCATCTCAGATTGCTGTACTAGCAGTGAGCGAGGCTCCATGGGCGTGGGACCCTCCAAGCCAGGCATGGGATATAATCTCCTGGTGTGCCATTTGCTAAGACTGTTGGAAAACCACAGTATTAGGGTGGGAGTGTCCCAATTTTCCAGATACCGTCTGTCATGGCTTCCCTTGGCTAGGAAAGGGAATTCCCTGACCATTTGTGCTTCCCGGGTGAGGCAGTGCCCTGCTTTGTATCAGCTCACGCTCCATGGGCTGCACCCACTGTCCAACAAGGCCCTTTGAGATGAACCTGGTACCTCAGTTGGAAATGCAGAAATCACCTGTCTTCTGTGTCACTCACACTAGGAGCTGTAGACTGGAGCTTTTCCTATTCAGTCATCTTGGAACCTCCCTTGTGAATTCTTGTCAGGAAATTTTTATCCTCCAAGAAGGAAACTCCATATCCATTAGTATTCATTTCTTATTTTTCTACCTGCCCCCTACCCCCAGCCTCTGGCAACCACTAAATTACTTTCTGCCTTTGAATTTGGCTATCTTGTACATTTTACATAAGTGGAACCATACAATATATGGACATTTGTGTCTGCTTTCTTTCACTTAGTATAATTTTTTCAAACTTCATATTGTAGTATGAATTAGTACTTTATCCCTTTCTATGGCTGAATATTTTATTGTATGGATTTTCTTTTTGAGACAGGGTCCCACTCTGTTACCCAGGCTGGAGTACATGATCACTGCAGACTTGACCTCCCAGGCTTAAGCAATTTTCCCACCTCATCCTCCTGAGTAGCTAGGACTATAAATGTGCACCATCACACCCAACTAATATTTGTGATTTCTAGTAAAGATAAGGTCTGGCTATGTTCCCAAGCTAGTTTCAAACTCGGCTCAAGCAATCCTTCCACTTGGCCTCCCAAAATGCTGAGATTATAGACATGAGCCACTACACCCCACCCTTAGTGAAGTGGCATTGTTGTCAGGGGTAAATACCTAGGGTTCATCATCTCACGCTAAGAAGATTAAAGACATAGACACACGTGGTTGGGTTAAGGAGTGGAAAGTTTAATAGGCAGAAGAAAGGAGAGAGGAGAGCAGCTTTCTCTCTTGTGAGAGAGAGGGGCATCCAAAAGGTAAAAGCCAGCCTACGACAGCCTGCAGCAGATTTTATAGGCTAGCTTGAGGAAGCAGTGTCTAGGGTCCACAGATTGGTTCAACTAGGTGTGACATTTACATTGAGTGTGGGGAAGGCTTGTCACCCCACCCTAATCTTAATATGCCAATAGGCTTTCTACTTGGCCAGCACCATCTTGTCTGCTCCATACTGTACACGTGGCTGGCAAAGAGAAGAGAAGATAGAGCCACCATTTTGATCATGCCTGGTCCCAGGTAGCCTTTTCCTATTGGCACAACTGCCAGCATTCACCTTTGCAAGCTTCTAGCTTACTTGTCTATGTCTGCAGCTCAATTTTACAGGCTGCTCTTTGTTAGAGAAGAAAATGATTTGGGGTCTGTTTTTCATTAAAAGTAAAACCTTAATGAGGACTTCCTTACCCTCACTATCTGCCTAAATAATTTCTTTTTCACTCCTATCTTATTCCCCCCCTCAGGAGTGGTAACCCTAACTGTTATTAAGGGGTATTAGATAATGACTCTTTCTGACTAATTCCTGCCAAAAAGGGGTGCCCTGACAGTTAGGACTTCTCCTGGGGTCAGTCTGAGGGTCCTCAGAAGAAAGGCATGTCTATGCATGGTTCTATCCACAGTACCATTTGGAGTTTGATTGCTGTCCACCTTTCCGATGGGTTGTAATACTGGTTTGCCTCCACCAGGTGCTGCTGAAATGTTAATAGTGTTAATATAAAATAACATTAACAAATGTTAATACTGTTAATATAGAAGGATAAGTGGCATTGGATTTGAGTGGCTAGAGTAACTTTAGTGTTAACCTTGGCTGAATCTTTCCTGCAAGTATTAATTCTTTCACAACTTCCACAGACCATTTATGACATGCTTATACTTTCTGACTTTTCCTAAACATCCCTCTTTTTAAACAAGCAGTTATTCTCTTTAGGATAAGAATTTACCATACAAGATCCTTTCTTATATAAAATCTATTTTCTTTATAACCTTCTTTGCGTAGCTAGGGTGTGACATATTACCAAACCCAATAAAAAGTCCTGGTGGACTCAGTGATAGTAAAACCTTCATGTTTACCTCTTGTCAGTAGCTATTATTCCTACTCTAAGGATAATAATTAAGCAAAATACTACAGCAGTGGAAACTCTCTGTCCAGTATTTCAGTTAGAAGGTGCTACCATGTACAACTCTACCTCAAATAGTAGAGTGAGTGTAGCGATTCCCACAAGGGTGGGATTATTAGATCATTCCATCTAAAATTTTAGTGCCAAGATATAGAATTTCCCTTTTGGAAGGTCTATGAAGTTCCTTGATTTTATTTTCCCAAAGAAATCTCTGGCTTATGAGCAACCTACTCACATTTATTACCTGGCAGGATTTGCAGGATAATTGGCCAGAACTAGCATATTGATCCAGATTTTTACATTACCCATACATTTTTGTTTTTCCCAACCTGCAGGAAATCATTACTTGATTCACAGGAATAAGCATGGCTAGTCTAAAATGCAGGCAAAAAAAAACTTTAAAATAACCA